GCAAACCCGGGTCTTACGCTCCCCCGAACCTGGGACGCCCCCCCGACCCCCGAGGCCAAGCCGGGCCTGGACCGCGGCGACAAGTCCACCAGCCAACGGCGGCGACCCCCCGGCACACGCGGGCAACGCACTCGACTCGGGACTCGAAGCCCCCACTTGAGGTCCTGCAGGTCGGGATCGGAATGGAGACCGAAGGGCTCAACATCGGGATCGAGCTCCGCTGGGTCCTCCAAGGCGATCCCAGGGGGAGCGGAGCAGTCCATCGGTCAACAACGCCTTCGCGATGACCTCTTCCTCCTCTTCCTCCCCCTCCTCCTCCTCCTCCTCCACCTGCTCCTCCTCCTCCTCCTCCTCCTCATCTACCTGCTCCTGCTCCGCCATTCCTGGCCCTTCTAAACAACTTCTCCCTGTCGCTCCTCGAATCGAACTTTTAGAGCGGGCCGGGCGTTTCGCCTGAGACTTCCTCACCATGTATAACCCTGGCTCGTAAAAATGGCAGCAGTGTCATGAATGGAGGGCTGGTGGTTTTCAAAACTTGGCTCTCGCTGTATCGCCGCGTATATTCGCTTTAAACAATTGCAAGAATTTCACGGATTGAGGAGGGTTCGTTTTTCAAAATGTGGCTCCCGCCTTAGCGTCGCGCACATTCGTTTTAAGCATTTGCAAGGGTTTCACGGAATTAAGGCGGGTGGTTTTCAAAATGTGGCTCTCGCCTTAGCGCCGCGCACATTGATTGTACAAAGTCGCAAGAGATTCAAGGATTGAGGGCGGCTCCTTTTCAAAATATGGCTCTCGCCTTAGCGCCGTGCAGATTCGTTTATAAACTTTACCAGAATTTCACATATTCCCATGATCAACGTACCAGACATGTTTGAAATATTCCAGAGAATGCGGGTGCAACAGTTACGTTGGATCGCGGTGTTGAAATCCCAGGAATTGCGTTCTGGCACGATTCAGGCTCGTCAAGACGCAACAATCAGGTTGATCCGTGGCGCTGGAATCCCGAGAACCATATTTTGGCATGCTTCAGGATGTTCAAACGGTTGTCTTCCGGAAAGGCAGTTCCCTCAGTGGGGATGAACCGTTGTAGGAGCTTATGAAGAGGGAGCCTGGAGGGAGAGTGGATTCCAACAACTTTGATGGCTCTTGGGCTTACACTGGTCCTCGTCCTCTCCTCCTCCTCCTCCTCCTCCTGATCCTCCTGCTCTTCCTCTTCCTCCTCCTCCTCCGCCTCCTCCTAGTTGCTCTTGCTCCTGATCCTGCTCCTCCCCCTCCTGGTCCTCCTGCTCCTTCTCCTCCTCCTCCTCTTCCTCCTCCTCCGTGCTGCTGCTGCTGTTGCTGCTCCTGCTCCTGCTCTTGCTCCTGCTCTTGCTCCTGCTCCTCCTCTTCCTCCTCCTCCCCCTGAACCACCTAGACTTGCTCTTCGCTCTGCTCATTCCTCACTCCTCTCCACCTCTTCGTTCCCTCCTCCTCCTCCTGATCCACCTAGACTTGCTTTTCGCTCTCCTCATTCCTCACCCCTCTCCACTCTCGTTCACTCCCCCTCCTCCTTGACCTCCTCCTCCTCCTTCTCCTCCGTTTTCCTCCTCTTCCCCCTGCTCCTCCTCCTCCTCCTCCTACTCCATGCCCTTCCTCCTCATCCTCACTTGGCGCCTCGTGAAACCGGACGAGGACGAGCAGCAGGTTGAACAGGCGAAGCATGACACGAGGGAAAAGAAGAAGAAGAAGAAGATAATGGCGAGGACGAGGGCAATAACGAGGCCGAGGAAGGAGGATGAGGATGGGCATGACACGAGGCGACAACGGGGAGAACGGGAACGGCAACGAGTATGATCATGTTATCCTCAACCACCTTCTCCTGTTCATCCTGCTTCAACTTATCATCCTTCTCCCCCCGCCCTTCCACCGCACCATCCAAATCCTTCTTCTCCCCCTCCGTGTCCTCTTCGTGCGCGTCTGCTTTGGTGTACTCCATCTCGGCTCATGTCCCTGGTGAAGCAATCAAAAACGACACGTCCGCATCCACTGAATCCGCCGGCACCCTTGTGGGGCCACCAGGTGTAGGCTCAGGGTTTGCTGTTCCCTGCGCCAGTTCCAGTTTCCAGTTTCCACTGTTACAATGTTGCTGTATGCTGCTTACTGTTCCTTGTTGATGGACCGCGCGAGGGGGGTAAGCCGAAAAGTGCCCTTGTTAGCGTCTCCTGGGAGGGTTCTCAGAATTTCTGGGGGGGGCGTGGGACACGTAAAAATAATGAAATTCGCGCCCCCGAGGCCATAAACCTTAGTAAATTACACATATTCGCGTCCCCCAGGCCATAAACCCGTGTGAATTACACAATATTCGCGTCCCCGAAACCATAAGCCCTAGCAAAATACACCATTTTCGTGTCCCCGAAGCCATAAACCCTTGTAAAGTATGCAATGCTTGCGCCCCCGAGGCCACAAACGCTCGCAGATCATACAACATTTGCCTCCCCGAAGCCATAAACCCTTCGTAAATTATACCATGCTCGCGTCTCCGAAACCATCGAACTTTTTAAATGACGCAAGATTTGCGACCCCGAAACC